CTTGTTATAATGCCCCAAGATCACAGTGTCCCCTTGGTTATATTGCCACACTTGTTATAATGCCCCAAGGTCACAGTGTCCCCTTGGTTATAATGCCACACTTGTTATAATGCCCCCAGGTCACAGCGTCTCCTTGGTTTTATTGCCTCACTTGTTATAATGCCCCAAGGTCACAGCGTCTCCTTGTTATAATGCCACACTTGTTATAATGCCCCAAGATCACAGTATCCCCTTGGTTATATTGCCACACTTGTTATAATGCCCCAAGGTCACAGTGTCCCCTTGGTTATATTGCCACACTTGTTATAATGCCCCAAGGTCACAGTGTCCCCTTGGTTATATTGCCACACTTGTTATAATGCCCCCAGGTCACAGTGTCCCCTTGGTTATAGTGCCACACTTGTTGTAATGCCCCCAGGTCACAGTGTCCCCTTGGTTATATTGCCACACTTGTTATAATGCCCCCAGGTCACAGTGTCCCCTTGGTTATATTGCCACACTTGTTATAATGCCCCCAGGTCACAGTGTCCCCTTGGTTATAATATCACACTTGTTATAATGCCCCCAGGTCACAGTGTCCCTTTGGTTATAATGCCACACTTGTTATAATGCCCCAAGGTCACAGTGTCCCCTTGGTTATATTGCCACACTTGTTATAATGCCCCAAGGTCACAGTGTCCCCTTGGTTATAATGCCACACTTGTTATAATGCCCCAAGGTCACAGTATCCCTTGGTTATATTGCCACACTTGTTATAATGCCCCAGGTCACAGTGTCCCTTGGTTATAATGTCACACTTGTTATAATGCCCCCAGGTCACAGTGTCCCTTTGGTTATAATGCCACACTTGTTATAATGCCCCAAGATCACAGTGTCCCCTTGGTTATATTGCCACACTTGTTATAATGCCTCCAGGTCACAGTGTCCCCTTGGTTATAATGCCACACTTGTTATAATGCCCCAAGGTCACAGTGTCCCCTGGTTATAATGCCACACTTGTTATAATGCCCCCAGGTCACAGTGTCCCCTTGGTTATAATGCCACACTTGTTATAATGCCCCCAGGTCACAGTGTCCCCTGGTTATATTGCCACACTTGTTATAATGCCCCCAGGTCACAGTGTCCCCTTGGTTATATTGCCACACATGTTATAATTCCCCCAGGTCACAGCATCTCCTTGTTATAATGTCACTCTTGTTATAATGCCCCAAGATCACAGTGTCCCCTTGGTTATAATGCCATCCTGGTTATAATGCCCCAAGATCACAGTGTCCCCTTGGTTATAATGCCACACTTGTTATAATGCCCCAAGATCACAGTGTCCCTTGGTTATAATGCCACACTTGTTATAATGCCCCCAGGTCACAGTATCCCCTTGTTATAATGCCACCCTGGTTATAATGCCCTCCGGTCACAGTGTCCCCTTGGTTATAATGCCACACTTGTTATAATGCCCCCAGGTCACAGTATCCCCTTGTTATAATGCCACAGTTGTTATAATGCCCCCAGGTCACAGTGTCCCCTTGTTATATTGCCACACTTGTTATAATGCCCCCAGGTCACAGTGTCCCCTTGGTTATAATGCCACACTTGTTATAATGCCCCCAGGTCACAGTGTCCCCTTGGTTATATTGCCACACTTGTTATAATGCCACCGCCTCTCCTATTTGTATGCCAGAGTAGTTTAAATGCCACTCAGCCCATAAAGCCAATGGCCATGATTTTCAGAACAAACATTCCGTCTCCAATGATTATGATTCCCCCATGGTATCTCAGAATACAAAACTATGGCATATCCTTTTTGCCCATATGCAAAAGTAATTTTTCGGTATTATCAAGAAACTAAGCTGATCTAGCCTCAGGAAATTGAGTGAACTATTTTGAGTGTGCTTTTGGTTTGTAAAATCTTATGTGGGTGTTAGGATTATACTCCTTAACTGAAATCTTATCCTGTTGATGCAGTGTTGAACAAAGGAATGTGCAAGTTCATCTACTTAAATTAAATTATTGTAATAACGTTTACCTTTAGAACATAACCCTGTCTTTCTGCCTCAATAAATGATGTGAGAAAATGTTTACCTCCAGTGAGTTGACTATTCAGATATACTGTGTAAAGGCCTAAGTGGAAAGATGGCAGTTACTACCATATTCACTTGTGTTATCTCCATGACATGACGATATCTTATTTTGGTTTCACTTAAGGAATCCATTTATTGCCGCTCTGGACTGTTGTCTTGGATTATGTCGTAGTCTTCGTGATAAATAGGCTGATTTTCAGGCAAGTGGGTTCCATACTTGACACATAACCCTTCAATTTCCAAGATGGAGAGCACAACGTGGGTGTATGGAAGAATGCTTCTCTACTAATTTTCTGCTTCTCTTTCTTGTTTCTTTTTTTCTCTGTTGTTGTCGTTTAGAGATGTTAGTTTGAACAAAATAATGGATGTCTGGAGATGAGTCATATGGAAGATGACCGATTTCTTGAGTGAGTAAGTGAGTTTAGTTTTACGCTGCACTCAGCAATATTCCAGCTATATGGCGGCATTCTGCAATATTCCACACTCCAGTATGGTGGCAGCGGTCTGTAAATCATATATAAATCGAGTCTGGACCAGACACAATCAATATTCTAACCCGTTCCTTCACGGGTTCTTGAAGTGAATGAGTGAGTGAGTTTAGTTTTACGCCACACTCAGCAATATCCCAGCTATATGAGTAAATAATCGAGTTTGGACCAGACAATCCAGTGATCAACAGTGTGAGCATCGATCTGCGCAATTGGGAACCGATGACATGTGTCAACCAAGTCAGCGAGCCTGACCATCCGATCCCATTAGTCGCCTTTTACGACAAGCATGGGTTACTGAAGATCAATATTCTAACCCGTTCCTTCATGGGTTCTTGAAGTGAGTGAGTGAGTGATTTAGAGTGTGCATCGTATGGAAGTCAATGACTTATTTCTTGACGAGATTTCACAGCAATTTAGAGTATGAGAAATATATTCTGTTTGATGCGTTTTTTAGAAGGTGGTAGGTAATAAGGAAGTAAGATACTTTATTGATGACAAGTTTGTTATTGTATATGATACAGCGTACAATTCTTATACCATTATCAAGCAATAGTGAAGTACTACAGCATAGAGCAAACTTACATCAAAACCGAAAAGTCGCATCATATATAATAAAGACGTTGTCATCCCTAAAATATCTTTCTTTGATGACTGATTTCCTGAAGAGATTTCACAGTGATTTAGCGTAGGAGTAATGTAGAACATAACTGATTTCTTTGAAGAGATTTCACAGTAATTTTACAGTATGAGTGATATGACTGATTTCTTGAACAGTTTTGACCATTCATTATTTATGAAAGACTAAATGTGAGATCTGCATGTGCCAGAGTGATGATGATGATGATGATGATGATGATGGTGATGGTGATGATGAAGATACTAGTTTCTTATGTTCTCTATTGTTATTCTCTATTCTTCACAAAGACGTTAAAATATGGTACTTGTTGGTCCCTGCCTGGTGCTCGGCATTAATGGGTACAACAAGGACTGGTCGGCTCGGAGTCAGTATAATGTGTCTGAGTGGGGTATTCATGCTTCACTGCGGCATGGTATCTCAGTGGGCTAGCATTATAAAACCAGCTTCAGTCTGGGCTAGTACAAGCAGCCGAACATACACATACACATGCATGCACGTCGTCATATGAGCGAAATATTCTCGAGCACGACGTTAAACCCAATTTCACCTCACCTCACCTATTCTTCACAACAAAGGAAGAAATACTCTGTCCTTCAATCAGACAGAAAACAGGATGCTATGCCCATTTACCATCAGAAAAAAAAAATGTTTCTATGCAAAATTTTATTTCTATTTAAAATGTTGGTGTTTGGAAAACAAAATTGTCACACTGGGCACTTGATTATCACCTTTTTCCCACCTAAAGACTGGTAAAAAACATATTTGTCTAAACTCTTATTGGTCTACACTGCTTCAAGCTTGGCAACAAACACTCCCCTGTGTATTTAATAATTCTCAATTTACCCATTCGCCATCATAAATTACTTTGTCATTATTTGTTAATATATTATTAACTTATTACATTAACTTATTTTCTTATATCTATTTGTATACTGTTAGTGGCTGCAGATTTTAAAAATACTTGTCATTTAAATGCTATTTTCTTTTTGTTATTTTCATTTCACAGACCAGTAAACCTCTGAATATGTTTATTCACCTAGCTAGTTTAACATTACTAAGGCATAATTTTGATGAAATATGTTTGGGTGACTGGAATTGTCACAATACATTATCAGGTTGTAATGTCTATATTGCCTGGTCATCTCTGCTTGTGTGGGTCTGACAGACCAATCAGTCAGCTAAATTGTTCAACAGATACTGATAATATCCTGTCTATAAACATAGATAATCACAAAGTGATCGTAGCGCTAAGGTAATCAATCGTAACTTCCATACATTAACATAGACTTGCGACTGTCATAGCGCTACGATCACTTTTTGGAACAGTGGTCGTTACGTACCATGTATCACCGTAGATAAGTCGATCTCATAGATGAGCAGAGGTCCTAACTTGACCCTTAAAATCAGTATCAAAATGGTATGATCCGTACATACGCCGAACCACAAACCTTCATTCATCTGCTCGTTGTGATCAGTCATCGGAAATAGAGAATCAACAAATTCATATTGAATTAAGCTAGTAAATCCTGTTGTTATGCTTTCTAGTAAGAATAAATGTTCTTTGCCTATCTGGACTTTTGCAATCTAGTTTTTATGTAAGGGCGATGGGATAGCCTAATGGTTAAAGCGTCCGCTCGTCACACCGAACGTCCGGGTTCAAGTCCCCACATGGGTACAATGTGTGAAGCCCATTTCATGTGACCCCCTGCCATGATATTGCTGGAATATTGCTGGAATATTGCTAAAAGCAGCGTCAAACTAAACTCACTAGTTTTTATGTTGTTCTGTCTACAGCAATGATGCCCGTGAAAACAGAAGTGCCCCAGAAGATGTCCAAGCTGTGTTCCGGGGCACGAAGGTCGTTCTTCTTTCGGATGAAGTATGGCTCAAAATCATCTGGAAATGTGCCAAGTAATACCGCAATGAAGAAAGATCCTGACTCGTATCAGTATAACAGGAAAAAGAAATCAGGTCAGTTAAAACACATCAGCCATTCAGCAAATTTTATTTCCATTCTGTAGTAATTTGCCCTGTGCAGATTCTGGATTCTGGATACGACCTTTGCTTCTTTTTTTCATAAGATGCAACATAATATACTGAGGGAAGAAATAAGGGATGACATGAAAGTACAAGTGTTCCTTTATTTTTTCTAAGGCTTCTTCATAAGCTTTGTATCGCATAGCTTGTGAAGAAACCTAGAAAAAAATAAAAAAACACTTGTGCTTTCATGTGATCCCTTATTTTTCCCCCTCAGTATAGATTAGGTTTAAGTCTTATGGCTTTTTTGAGTTGGTGTCATCGTGCCCCAGTGTCATGGAATATTACTCATAATATCGACCCGTGAAGATCGGGGGTAGAACAGGTCTTCAGCAACCCATGCTTGCCACAAAAGGCGACTATGCTTGTCGTAAGAGGCGACTAACGGGATCGGGTGGTGAGGCTTGCTGACTTGGTTGACACATGTCATCAGTTCCCAATTGAGCAGATCGATGCTCATGCTGTTGATCACTGGATTGTCTGGTCCAGACTCGATTATTTACAGACCGCTGCCATATAGCTGGAATATTGCTGAGTGTGGCGTAAAACTAAACTCACTCACTCACTCACTCATAATATCAACCACTGGTTGGTTTGGTTATTTGCAAACCCATGTGATATCTGGAATATGGCTGAGTGAAAGGTTAAACATCAAGCAGACATTCTCTCTGTTGTAATGTACGAGTAAACAATCTGAGTGCCATTGTACAAAGCGACCTTAGCGCTATGGTGATGTAACTCCCATACCTTAACATAGACTTACGGTAGTCTTAGCGCTAAGGTGACCATAACTCCCATACCGTAACATAGACTTAACATAGACTTACGGTAGTCTTAGCGTTAAGGTGACCGTAACTCCCATACCTTAACATAGACTTAAGGAAGTCTTAGCGCTAAGGTGACCATAACTCCCATACCTTAACATAGACTTACGGTAGTCTTAGCGCTAAGGTGACCGTAACTCCCTTACCTTAACATAGACTTAAGGAAGTCTTAGCGCTAAGGTGACCGTAACTCCCATACCTTAACATAGACTTACGGTAGTCTTAGCACTAAGGTTGTTTTGAACAACAGCTCCCTGGAGTCATTTGCCAAGTCCAGCTTGAATGATATTACTCCCAAAATACCCAGCCAATCAAATTACCCCATTCTGTCGTTATTGAATCACATAGCCATAACTTCATACTTGACTGTGTTTCATACAGCAGTGACGATATTGGCTTCTGATCCCTGTTTGACCCTATTACAGGCCTCTCACAGCGGAGTTTAAAAATAGTAAACAGTGGACCGTTATTGTATTTTGATAACTTATCCTGATAAAACTAGCGTTAAACATAACTCTCTGGCTTTTTAGATAAGAAGAACTACGTGATCATCCACTGCAGTGGCTATTTGAAGTCCTGGTCGTCCAGCAAGATGGGCATCGATGATGACAATGAAAGCGATGAAAGTCCCAGCCTCAGTTGCCTTGTTGCCATTGGTCGAATCCAGCCAACCTGCCAGTCCCAACCCTCATCGTCGCCTAGCAACATAAACATTCGACCAATGGAGTATATGTCTCGACTTAGTATAGATGGAAAATTTGCAAATGTTGATGAGCGGTGAGTATTTTTGTGATAGTCTTAATAGTTAGTTGTCTTCTGATGATCGAAAATAATCGAAAACTGATCGAAAGTAGGATTAAAAATAATTATCGATTGTAAAAATCATATTTTCAATTAAACTGAATTTTGTTGTTTTAGTATAACACACTTGACCATTAACAAACTAACCTTTAAATTTGATGAATATTCACAAACAAACATGCGCACAACAGCGTAAAGCTATGTGCATTGTAAAATTTTAACCACTTTTATTGTTTAATTACAATTCCAGTGTCTTTCTTGCATGCATGCATTTCATTGCATGGCAGTATTAGTTATAAAAATCATTAATTTGAAAAAAACTGGGGAAAACCCATAAATTTGGTGATTACATTAAAAATGTATGTATTTCGATTATAATCGATAATCGATAGTCCTCCGATAATCGATAGTGGATTTGGTTTCCAATTCCCAACAATAGTCATGGTGTATCAGTTGGCCCTGTTGGTAAGGTGGTTGCTTGTGACTGCCAGAAAACAAGTTTGGTTTTCATCTTAGGTACACTGAAACCTTTTCTGGGTGTCTGGTGCCGCCTCCATGGTTAATGGATTTAGTGTCTGCCAATGGGGCAGGTCAGTGGTTTGAAATCAGTGTGTGCTGAACGTTGAAAGATGTTAAATGAGGGTACTTATTGTTACCCTGCCTAGTGCTCATCTTTGTTGCTATGCAACCAGTGGTTGTGTACTGTGTTGCAGTTGGGCATCCATGTTAAGCATGGAGTGAATGTGAGTGAGTTTAGTTTTACGCTGCACTCAGCAATATTCCACCTATATGGCGGTGGTCTGTAAAAATCGAGTCTGGATCAGACAATGCAGTGATCAACAGCATGACCATATTTACGAAACTGGGATACGATGACATGTGTCAATCAAGTCAGCGAGCCTGACAACACGATCCCGTTAGTCGCCTCTTACGACATGATGACAATGACAATGACAATACATTATTACCAGTGAGGGAATTCTTGTATAAAGTACATAGCTCAAACATTGATAAAATGATTAAAATATTTGTTTAATACAATAAATAACACACATATAACATGCTAACAAGGTGAGACAAACACTAGGAATCATTTAAAAGATTAATTCTGGCAGGAACAAAGGATTTCATGGCACGATTGAATTTAAAACGGGATAAATTATAACGGCGTCCAGAAGGCAGTAATTTATACTCATAGTAGATGGGACGATCATGCATGGATTACTGAAGATCAGTTCTAACCCGGATTTTCACGGGTGTTAAGCATTACCAGTGTTTGAGTTTTTTAGTAATTACCATTATATTTATTGGTATAATTAACCGGTAATTTGTGTGACTGTCAGACCCAGTGACTAGCTGTAAATGCATCTTGTGTATAAATTTGTTTGAATTGACATTCAAAACATATTGAAAAATGTTCAGCTTGGTTATAGGTATGCTTGTAGGCTCCTTTAATAAATGTTTCAGACCTGCCTCATGGGTTTGATTTTCACATAAGGGTCGGTGGGGTAGCTTAGTGGTTAAAGTGTTCATTTGTCATGCCAAAGATCTGGGTTCGATTCCCAACACTGTAAAGTGTCCAAAGGCCGTTCATGGTGTCCCCTGCAATGATATGGATGGAATATTCACTCACTCACTCATTCATTCACTCACTCACTCACTCACTCACTCCTGATCAATTGTCATTATATAACTGATATCGGTTGAAATCTGTTTTAACCTATCCAACTCACTCACTCACTCACTCACTCACTCACTCACTCACTCACTCACTCACTCACTCACTCACTCACTCACTCACTCACTCACTCACTCACTCACTCACTCCAGTACCTGATCTGGTTGTTGAAGTACCTGGTATTGGAGTCTGGAGTTGTCTTGGACTGAATTTGTCTTGGAGTGCATTTGTCAGGGTTTGTCTAATTTTGCTGGACACTATTATTTCCAGAATCGCAAGTCATAAAACAACATTCACCCTGACAGCTATCCTTGATATCCTTTGATATCGAGCTGCCTCCCACTCAATGATAATGACATGTCCTTTTGGAGTCCAGATCCTTGGACTGAAATAGGAATCTTTATGACGACAATCATAATATCTCCAGCCAGGTTTAAATAACATATAATCTGATTTTCATGTTTATTGTTAAAATAATGTCGTGACAAATTTGCCATACACAGTTTCATGTGACAACTGTTTTTATTTTTAAGGAGTTTCTGCATGAAACACTTTTCAGTGATTAGGACAGATGTATGTGAAATACGCAAAAAGTGAAAAAGAAATTATTGCCAGGTTTCGAAATACCCCATATATTAGTGTGCCATGGCACGGTAAATACAGAAATGGCTCGGCTATAAAATGTTCTCGGTGCCCTTTTGACAAGCCTAATTTTTTAAGAGACATAACTCACATTTAGTCATTTAATCCCCAAAACAATTATTTTTTTCCAAATTGAATAATACCATACATATCTGAATGCTCATAAACTCATTTCTTTATTTAACAATAAATTTCAAATGATTATCATCATTGTCATTTATTCTAAAAACTTGTGGGCATACTCGATTTCAGAAAGGCACACCTAAAATATTTGTCTGGTGCCTTAAGGCACATTTAGAAAAAAAAGTATTTCTATCCCTGAAATTGCAGTATTGATTTTCATCAGTTAAAAAGATAAAATGGGGGAGAAAAAATTTGTATTTTTAGAGCCTACTTGTACAGAGGTCAACATGGACACTGGTCCAAGACCTATCATTATGAGGGAATGTGTTCTCGCTAAAACAATCTACTTATGTTGCCATGGTTACATAAACCTTTTATCAGAAATGAGCTGAGGAAGAGTTGGGTATCACCAATGGTGTCTAACTCTGATGTTTTACCAGACTGTGTGTTCATATATTTGACATTCCCTTCTTGCCCAACCGTGTATTGTTATGAGTGTGCGAAATAACCACTGGTCTGCTAGTCTGTGGCCACTAAAAATCCAGTCAGGCCAGTAAATGACTCCACAGTCACTGGCCTGACTGGCTGGTGAATTTTCATGTCATCATTTTGTAAATATATCACTCTCTCCAACTTGTTAAGTTGTAATACACTTTTAAATCATGACAGATTATGGCCTGATAAAAATGTTCATCATATTAGCAGCTTAATGTTGAAACCTGTGTCATGCCGACAATATATTATTCTCATATATTTTTGTAATCTATTGCTTAGTTTCTACATTCAAATTTCGGGCTTTTGAATTATTTTGTGGGCTAGTAACTTTCAGGCATAGATAGCCCGACTGGCTAGCAAGATTTGGAAACTATTTCGCACACTGACTGAAACCAGCATTAAAGTTAAAGTACATAAAACAGCTCCAATTTTGACTCACAGGCTTGAATATAATTAGCAGTGACATAAAAAAAATTGTTTGAGTTTATCATATTTATGCATGTAAGTAAACCCAAATTTGTTTTACTACTTTGACAAATTTCTTATTTTAACATACCGGTATACTGCATTTCAATGGTGCTAGTTAAAAAAGCCTTGGCATATATTATTTTTACTTTTTCATGACTTTTGAAAAATAGATTTATTTCTCAGGTTTTGTAACCAGTCTGTTTCTAGGTCATTTTTTCAGTCTTATGTATTTTAATTTTAATATAGCTGCATATTTCTATTTTGAATAACGGTAGACTGTGCCCTGTGTGTAAATGCAATTTCATCACTCAATACAGAATAATTCAAAGGTTGAGATAAAACGCCAGGGCTTGTTTCAACATTCTTTTTTTTCAGTAAATCTGTAAAGAATTTCAATCTAAAACAGATATCTTTGGTTTTTACCATCTTTACATGTGTTACACAAGGAATAGTCCTGTTTTTATTATCACTGCAATGTTTAATTTCTTTCGCTGTGTATCTTTCTCACAGGAAAATATACTGTTTTAAAACACGGAGTACGCTACATATTGCTTTTTAATCCAGTACAAAACTGTTCTTACAGCATCATTAAATATTTTCTTTAGAAATAATAAAAATGGTTTGGAATTTAATTCTTAAATAATTTCTTGTTGCCATGCATTAACTCATAGTTCAGCATCGCGAACATTGACTTAGATCAGGTAAACGTGACTAGTGGGAGACTGGCTTCGGCTCGTCTGTTTTCTCAGGGTGGTGGTCACATCCAAGCATGCTGTTGTCAACAAGTTTCTCTTTGTTGTCACAATAATGCCACAGTGTCTCATACAGAGCTAGACGGTAAACATTAAGGAGTGTTTTACACCCATCATATTTACGGAAATATTTCTCTGTATAAATATTGAAATATTGGATTTTGTCTATGAGAAAATCATCAGGAAAATACTGTCTGTCTTATCATCTGTGCGCGCAAATACATGCAGGAAATGTGGATTTATTTGTTGCAAGAAATGCCGATTGTTTTTGGCAATATATCACGAGGGAAAAAAGCTCCACGATATGTCCTGATACTTTGGCCCATGTAGCCCTGACTCTTTGGCGTCGAAGTCAAAGTTGTGTTTGGGGGAGCTTTTTTCAAACTTCTGAATACACAAGGTTGAAACTGTTTTAAAAATTGCCAAGGATTTAAATGTAAAGTATTTAATCACCGTCTGAAAAGAAAAAGAAAGATAACTGGCTAAAGCTAAAAGAAACCAGTTGTTTGTGTAAGTTTTGTAACATCTTGTATTCAATTAACTTGTGGTTTTAATTGTGTTTCTGTGTTACCTGTCATATTCAGTTAAAGTTTCTTCCTCAAATTTGAAAAAGACTTACCCTATTTGAAAGTTGTAAAAAAAATTGAGATCTTAGTAAAGCATATGTTAGGTTTAGCCTAAATACTGCCTGTTTGTGAGGTCTGTGTAAACATGCTTGAAGCATGGATAATTCTTAAGTCTGTTTAAACTTATCTTCAATGCATAAACCACCAAAGACTTAAATAATTTCAAAAGCCAATAAAGATCAAATCTTTGGAATAACATTGTTTTTGGGGTTTTTTCATTGTCATCATTCAAAAGGTAGTTTATTGATTACAACTATGTCATAAATGAAATGCATGTAGACCACATATTCAATACCTAAATGACATTTTAAGTTCATGTAGACCTCTTATTTAATAGGTGTATACCACCTATTGAATACATATATACCACATTATATAACCAAATAGAATAATTGTATACCACATATTATATAGATATAGACAAGATATTGAAGGTGAGGTGAAATGGGGCTTAACGTCGTACTTGAGAATATTTCTCTCATCTGATGACGTGCATGTGTGTGTATATGTCGCTGCTTGTACTAGTCCAGACTTAAACTCGTTTTATAGTGCTAGCTCACTGAGATACCATGCCGCAGTTAAGCATGAATACCCCACTCAGACTCATTGGAATGACCTCAAGCCGACCAGTCCTTGTTGTACCCATTAATGCCGAGCGCCTGAGGCAGGGACCAACAAGTACCATATTTTAACGCCTTTCGGTATGTTGTGGCTGGGGATCGAACTCGAACCCATAGCTACTAGCCACAGAATAATTCACTAGCCGGAAATTTGAATGTTGACACAGGTTTCTTTATTAAGCTGCCATAAGGCCATAATCTTAAATGACTTAAGAGTGTATCATAACTTAACAAGTCGGAGTGATATATTTACAAAATGACCCGCTGAAAACTCACTACCAGTTGGGCCAGTAACTGCGGAGATTTTCTGGCCCGACTGAATTTTTACTAGCGACGGGCTAGTGGGCCAGTGGCTATTTCGCACACTGTGTATATCACATATTGAGCACATGTATATCACATATTAAATAAACGTATATCACATATTGAGTACATGTATATCACATATTAAGTACATGTATATCACGTATTGAATACATGTATATCACATATTAAGTACATGTATATCACATATTAAGTACATGTATATCACATATTGAATACATGTATATCATATATTAAATACATGTATATCACATACAGTGGAAGCTGTCTAAACCGGCACACATTGGGACTGAAGAAATAATCCGGTTTAGACAGCGTGCCGGATTGTAGAGCTGACACGGTTACCTACAACTAGAACTGAACCAGTGTTATCACTCTAATATACGTTGTTGTATCACGTGGTTCTCTCAATTATTCTCTAAACATACTAATTACATGTACATGTATACGAATACTGAACTAAGATTAAATTATCTTTAGACAGCGCTGATTACTGTATAAACACATATTCGGGCCGCTCATTTCATACCGAGATCCGGAATTGACAGCTGCCAGATTGCAGAGCTCTTAAATGATGAAAAATGTACTAGCCACGGATGGGACTGAGATTTTATGCAGATGTTACAACTTGCCGGATTGGACAGCTGCCGGTTTTTACAGCTTCCACTGTATTAAGTACATATATATCACATATTGAATACACGTATATCACATGTTAAATACACATATACCACATATTGAGTACATGTATATCACATATTAAATACATGTATATCACATATTGAATACATGTATATCACATATTGAACAGATATGTACCACATATTATGTAGATGTTGACCTCAAATTCAATGTGTATCACTTGTGATGTAATGTAATATTATTTAATGTTGACATCATGTATTTGCCCTTAGATTTCTCCTCAACACCATCTTTTGTTCTTTTGGGTCAGGGTGATCAAAAATCAGTTTTCCATGATCATGCTGGCCACAGGTAGCAAAGCGGTTTAAATGTTCGCTTGTTACACCAAAAGTCTGCGTTCAAATCCACACTTACATACAATGTATGAATCCCATTTCTGGTGCCCTCCACTGTGATTTCTAGAATATTGTTAAAAGCGGCGTAAATCTATAGTCGGTCGGACATAGCCAACCGAGAGACCTCAGTTGTAATCATGGGTTGGAATCATAGATTTGTTATCATTTTGTTTCAAAATCTCTTTGATAATGTTTTCATGATCTTCATCTAAGTAGTGAACATCAAAGACCTTCATTGTTTTAGGATTTTCTCAGATGTCAAGGAAACATGCTGATATGATTGAAACACTGTTCAAAGCAGTCTTAATCTGATGCACTCATTTCATGAGGGTCATTCACCACCGGGAAAGATTTCATTTAAAAGATTAGTTGTTTTTTTTGGCAATGTCAGTATAAACAGTTGTGTTAAAAACCACATGGGCTTACGATACACAGTCAACTATGATTTTGACGAACTCAAAAGGACCACCAATTTTAGTTCAGTGTAATTATAATTTGTGAAATGCATTTCAGCTAAACAATATTAGCATATGATCTGATATATATCGATATAAAATCTCATAAAATTATATTGATATATGAACTGATATGTACTGATATATTATTTGATATATATAGATATTTCAAATGATTATGTGTATATCAACATATAATCTGATATATATTGACTCATGATTTAATACAAATTGATGTATTATCTGAGAGATATTTCAGTATATTATCTGATATATATATTGATGTATGATTTGATATGTATATCAATACATGATTGATATATGTATATATATAGACATATCTTATATCTGTTGATGTGGATTGATATATGATTTGATGTATATCAATATATGATTTGATGTATATCGATATATGATTTGATGTATATCGATATATGATTTGATATATTTCGATACATGATTTTATATATATTGATATATGATCTGATATATTTCGATATATCATTTGATGTATATCGATAGTTGATTAGATGTATATATATGTATGACTTGGTATATATCAATGCATGATTAATGTATATCAATATATGATTTGCTGTATATCGTCATAATATCAATATACAGTTTGGTATATTACCTTACATGATTTGATGTATATGGATGTATGATTTGATATATTTTGATATATCATCATGGATTTATATCAATGTATGATTTGATATATACTGAACAACATTAGAAATTATATAATTAAATGAAACATTTAGCAGCGTTCAACCAACTATAATCACTTCCAAAATGTAAACACCATAGGATTATCTCCATTCTACCATGACATATGCACCTTAAATAAAACACGTTTTAAATATGCACTCCTTACCCTTGCTTAGTGTTTTGACACTACGCGCAGTGAACCGGCTCTCAGAAGTGGTTATAGAAAAATTTTCACTTCTAATTTTTTAGTAACAGCCAATCAAAAACGAACATACTTAAATGTCATGGTAGAATACGAAATATCCCCGTCAGATTGAAATGTACCCATGACATCTGAGCATTGTCGGTACATTTTAGTGTGGTGCGTTTCTAATGTTCAGCATATTTTGATATATCATTGGATGTATATCGATGTATGATTTGATGTATGTCGATGTATGATTTGATATATTTCGATATATCATTTGATATATTTCGATATATCATTTGATATATTTCGATATATCATTTGATATATTTCGATATATCATTTGATATATTTCGATATATCATTGGATGTATATCAATAGATGATTTGATGTATGTCGATGTATGATTTGATATATTTCGATATATCATTGGATGTATATCAATAAATGAATTGATGTATATGGATGTATGATTAGATATATATTTCATTACAGAGCAACTGTTATCCTTGGTTATCTACCTCAAGAGCTCCTGGGGACCTCGGTGTACGAGTACTACCACTCAGACGATATAGAACATTTATCAGAGGTGCATCGGAAAGGTGATTTTACATTTGTATTGCATGATTTATTAGCTTATTGAGGTTGCACAGACAGGCGTGATGAGATTTTCTCGTCTTTAAGGTGTTGATTATTGGAAAACATGCAACAACTGTTTATTATGTCACGAATATGATCACGACTTTGGAGTTACCGATTTTATTGGGTGCATGTTGGTGGTTTTGATGTAGCCAAATATATGATTAAATGTGTGATTCTTAATTATTACAAAACTGATTGATTATTCTTATCTGTGATTTTTAATTTTTTTTATGTATTTAAAAAAAATGAAGAATAAATTAAATATTTCTTCTGTCGGTGGATCTGTGGCTTATCGGGTAATATGAAAATACAAATCCAATTTGAGGAACATATTACTTGTAATATTGCAATACTGCAGAAAGTAGTTCATAAATAACATGGTAAATTAATATGACGATTACAGCATATGAATAATGCTTTAGATATTCTATTTCAAATCTTCATAAATGTGATTGTGTTGTGTGAATACCTACATGTTATAAAAAGGGAAAAACAATTACAGTAACACATTTATTGTCTAACAGTGTACAGCTTAATCATACAGAAGCTGCAAGCATTGACATCAAGATGTTAATAACCAACTTGCATGCACTTTACCGATTCCATCTTTTAGCTAGACCATTACAGACTTTGCTTGTCAAAGAGACACATTTTGTGTTCGGAAAATATATGCTCTTGATTTTTAAGCAAGGTATATTTAGAGCATGTATTCTCAGAGGATTTGAACCATTTACAAACTAAATGAATTTAGAATTTGTCCTGAAAATCGCCAGATGTGCAGAAAGTTATATATTGTAATTATTTCAGAACTTTCTGTGGTGAACTTTGGACGTCATGTAGAGATAATACAAATTTAGAAAGTGTCTTCACTGCACATACCAATCATAAGAAGTTAAAGTGAAAAATATTAATTTATTTTGAATAATTTATTAAATTGAGCCGATTGTCAACTGATTTACTCTGTATATTTACATAAGGACATTACAAATATGTTGTAAGTGACCGTTCATAATAATCATGATTTTAAGGGGGTGTCACCCATTTTGTTCTGGGGAGGTAGGGGGTGTCATCGATTTTGTACACATGCACTAGTAGGGGTCAGCAATTTTATACATATAAATATTCAAATTTTATCAATCAAATTTTCTTGTAATCGAACACAAACGATTTTGGAACTCACTGTTTTAGTGTTTGAAACACTTGATGACGGAACATATCTGAAAAGTTGTCATGGCTTGAAAACATGCTTCTTAGAAAAACTCACTTCAATAACTGAAAAGTCATGATTGAATCTTTCTTGAAGACTCCAGTCATCACTTTAAAGTAGCAAGTTGCATCACGTTACATTGGGTGTGAATAGTGCAAATACAATTTGTGCAGTTTCTAAATAAAACAAAAAACAACAGAGAACCAGATTGTACTTATCTGCAATAACAACCTGAATAGGAACATCTGAAAAATGATGCTAACCAATATTTTTCGATGATTGCTCGTCGGTAATGAACCACTTATCAATTGTGAGATTTCAACTAATTCCCAACGCTATAGTTGATTGGCATGCCATTTTTATATTTCATACAAAAAATACAAATATCTACAAGAAAACACAGGATATTTGATCATCACACTTTTCATTTTCATATACATCAGTGCTTGTCGTAAGAGGCGACTAACGGGATCGGGTGGTCAGGCTCGCTGATTTGGTTGACACATGTCATGGTATCCCAGATGTGTGGATCTATGGTCATGCCGTTGATCATTGGATTGTCTGGTCCAGACTTGATTATTTACAGACTGCCACCATATCGCTGGAATGTTGTTGATTTCAGCGTTAAACAACAACCAAACACATCATCAGTACATGATCAATGTGCATGTTTTCCTGGAAGTTGCGTTGTGTCATTGTAAAACTAGTTATTATCATACTTGCAACTATATTTTTCAGTGTTAGATACAAAAGAGAAGGTTGAGACAAATGTGTATCGGTTTCAAGGGAAGAATGGAAAATATATTCATCAGAAGTCAATCTGCTTTGCCTTTTCCAACCCATGGACGAAAGAAGTTGAATGTATCGTGTCAACCAACATGGTGGTTCAGTAAGTTGGACATTTTTAAATTGAAAATTTCACTATTATAATAGGTAACAAGTCAATGACAAGGCCTTTTGGGATAATTTGGATGGGATTTTTATGTCCTTTTGAGAGATGCCAACCACTCCGATTTTGGAGGAGTTACTCCGAGTTTCAAATACAAAATCCACTATCCGATTTGTCTATAAAAAACTCCAATTTTTTAGAAAATACAAATATGTTTATAAATTTAGAATGTTTGAAAGAATTTTAGTAAAAAGCCATTTAAATAATGTTCATTTGAGTTAAGTATTATCTGGTTAAGTATGGCCAGAAATTGCATATTTCCAGGCTAAATCTAAAGATTTTCATAGGGGTGGCCCCCCAGACCCCAACCGTCAAAAGGGGCCCGAGCCCCCTCTCACGCTCACCCCCAACTCACACCTTCAGGACTTGGGAATTGCTTTTGGCAAGGCATGACTCTGCTTACATTTGAGTCAGGGTTGGCATCTCTGCATTTTTATGCAAAATTTATGCTGTTACGTATTTTCTGGTTTCATGATGACCTGTAGGAGGTCAGGGTAGGGGACTTGGTTGTATGTCATAGTGATGGCGTGGATTGATGCTCATGACATCAATCACTGGATTAGTATTTTAAAGCCACTGAAGATTGCTGAGTTTGGTGAACTTTAGTGAGAGAGACAATAGATACTGCTGATTCGTGCTTTTAAAGGATTTTACAGGTGCTTCAATTAATATGTGTATATTATCTTCTACCATCTTACAGATGAGGATATGATGACCAGGCCCCAATTTCTCGAAACAAATTTAAGTCTGAGTTTTGACTTAAGTTACAGTTTTAACTCAAATTTGAGAAGAAGCAGGAAAATGCACTTCCCAGAATAAACTGAAATGGACATAAAACTCAAACTTAGTAGACAATTTGAGTTAGGTAGATAGGTAGATAGTCTTTTCGCATTAGAGATCGATGCTCAGCTGTTTCAAATTCACTCAGATTGAAATCAGTTTGTTCCAGACTCGATTATTCACAGACCACCGCCATATAGCTAGAATTTTATTGCTGAGTGTGTTTTGATAATTTGCTAGTAATATGTTCAGGAACATTCTAAAACTTAACTCAATCAGTCAATCAAAATTACAGTTTAGATAAAAATGGGATGCTGGATTGGGTGGTCAAGCTCAGTTAGATGTTCACAATATCGACCACTGGATTGTCGGATCCATTTTTTGAAATTTTCATTTTTTCAGTGTATTTCGGGGCGGTGGGGTAGCCCTGTTGTCAAAGCGTTCGGTCATCACACCAAAGGCATGTGTTCGATTCCCCACGTGGGTAAAATGTGTGAAGCCCATTTCTGGTGTCCCCGCCTTGATATTGCTGAAATATTGCTAAAATGGCATAAAACCCAACTCTATCAGTGTATTTCAGACAGTGGCCTATTGGTGGTTTATTCATCAATAATAATTCAGCAAAAGTTGATTCATCAATAGCGATTCATGAGTAGTTGATTCATCAATGTTTGATCCAACGTATTTAATTTATAGTGTCCCTGAAGTGTCCAGTTCTGGTCAAGCAGCAGATGCCGGTGACACTGATATGTCTTCTAATTACAACTTTCCTATTGGTAAGTCTTAAAGTTCAGACCCATGAAGATCCGGGTTAGAATTGATCTTCGGTAACCCATGCGTGTTGTAGGAGGCGACTAACGGGATCGGGATCGTATCCTAAGTGTGTAGATCATGCTGTTGATCACTGGATTGTGAGACAGGATTTTTACAGACCGCCGCCATATAGCTGTAATATTGCTGAGTGCGGCATAAAACTAAACTCACTCACTTATTATATGTGTGTGCGTATGTGTCAGCGTGACAGTCGCAGGTGTGTGCATGCATGTTTTAATATGTCTATGTTTGGGCCCTCATAGGCCTTCCAGGTTAGAATTGGTCTCCATCAATGAATGTATTAGGACCAGGGTATTAATGAACTGGTCCCAGTGATTTGGTGATTTGTTATCACAACAAGTAAATGTGCTCATAATATAACTCACTGGTTTATTTGGTCCAGAGATGATTATATACAGGCCACTGTCATATAGCTAGAGAAATGATGTGTTAAACATCATAAACAAATATTTAATGCTCAGTTTTATACCTCAAGTATCTGTAAAGAGTTGCTTCCCTTGATGCATCGGGGACAATACCAGTGGTTCAGTGTTTAGCCTAAAGTAGAAACCACATGATGAATGTATCATCATCCTCATGTCTGTGACAATCTGACAAGATTCAGGAGGCAAAACACATGTTACAACACAAAAACACAAATGTAGGGTGTTAGGCAATAATTTAAAAAAAATTGATAAAAAAACCCACTGAAACTTTAAAAAACAAACTGATTTATTTTCCCCTTGAATGGAAATATATGTTGAACAGCAAGACTGAAGTGACAAGCCGTACTAAAAACTGTTTACATGACAACATATTCAGACTTGTTGGAAGCATAGAAAACGATCTCAAATATCTATTTTCTTCCTACTATCTAGGATTAGAAAAATTGTCAAGCCAAAAAATATGTCTAGCTTAAATATAGGAGTATATTGGAATAGCATTATGAGTAATCATGGACATTTTGAGTAATCATGGACATTATGAGTAATCATGGACATTATGAGTAATCATGGACTTTATGAGTAATCATGGACATTGTGAGTAATCATGGACTTTATGAGTAATCATGGACATTATGAGTAATCATGGACATTATGAGTAATCATGGACTTTATGAGTAATCATGGACATTATGAGTAATCATGGACTTTATGAGTAATCATGGATGGACTTTACTTTATGAGTAATGACAACTTTATGACAACTGTCTGATTGTAGTGAAACCATACCAGGTTAACTCACAATTGGTCCTTTGTATCTTAATGTGTTCTAATTTTTAAACTTATCCGATGTCACGGTACTATTTCTTGTCGAAGCATGAGAGAGAAGTGCATCGTGTGAGATAGGATAAGTATATGAATATACAATTTTTAGTTAAAATTTTCAAATTACTATTGACAGTGTTGAATCTTTAAAGGCACAATATCACACCACACTTCTCTAAAAATATATATTGCATTTCCCTCAATAATACTATAAGCCTTCAGGGACGCAACAATGTAATTTATTAATAATAAAATTTTGTATTTAGATTACAATATTAAATTAAATATACCTTGAATGAATTAATGCAACTTTGCATTAAATCGACTCTAGCGCCCTCTACCGGCTGAACATGATTTCAAGTGAACCCAATAGAGTTATGTCCCTTGGAGTGCTCTTTACGAATATCCTATACACCTGTGATTGAAACCTGTTCTTCCAACACCGACAACACCGTGTGCGACAATTTTTGATGTATGGAGCAATTGTTTACATTCCATATATGGCAAGTGTTCTCTGTTTGGAAGCTGTTCGCCTCAGTTTCAATTATCGATTTCAAGCAAGTTGTGAGGGATAGTAAGACTTTTATTGCATCAATAGGAAGCTAAAGTGAGTGCATATGTCCCAATATATATAATATAGGCCAAAATATTGTCGAAAATGTGTGACATTGTGCCTTTAATCAAGATATACTGGCAGTATTTACAGTGGTCACTTTGGGCTCCATTTATGTCACATGTTACTTTAGATCTGCCTGTCTTGACTGTGGCTCAATGACTGTCTCTAAGTAGAGCCAGTGTCTTCTGAGTATAGCCAGTGTATAATGATAGCCAGTGTATAATGATTGTTGCTTTCCTCAGAATCTGAGAAGACTGGTAAAGAGGGCTTGACTCGACTGGCAATCATGCGAGGAGTGGGGCAGATCGGGAAACAGATCGCAGAGCAAGCCACTGAACAGAGCAGGTAAGAACAGATCCTCATTAACTGCATTTCTTTTACATAATATTTGTACCAAACACCTGTTACACTTTGGGGTAGCCTAGTGGTTAAGCGTTCGCTCGTCACGCCCGAAGGCCTGGGTTCTATTACCCACATGGGTACAATGTGTGAAGCCCATTTCTGGTGTCACATGCCATGATATTGCTGGAATATTGCTAGCTAATGTTCCAGGACTACAATTAGAAAACTCTAACATGCAGGCTACATTATCAAAGAAATGGCTTTCTTGAATTTGATAAAGCCCACTTAGCCCAGCTGTTAAAGTGTTATGGCTGAGAATACCTGGGTTTGATTCCTAACATGAAACCCATGGTTGGAATTCGGCAATAACCAGGTTAGACTTCACTTCTGACCTCACACAATATGACCTTGAATGTAAATCAGGGGAGGTAATTTGTTTTCAAGCATGAATCCTTCTATAAAGAACATATCACGCTCAAACAATACCATAGAGTTAACCATTACCTCAAAAGCCCTCCAGTCAAACATTTGAATCGAACATCTGCAGCAACCAATCAAATGCAAGCAAATGGTTTCCCATAAGCCTTTGCAGCTGAAGTATTATTCCTGTTGCCACTTGATGGCCACACATGTTTTGAAAGCCAGCTTAACAGCCATGTAGAGTGCCAAACTGACAACCCCATGGCTTAATGGCACTGTTTCAGCTTGAAAGACGAGATGCTCATAGTAACAGCAGGTCCAGGAATTGGCATCGAATCTCCCCAGCTTCATGGGTAATAACACGGACCTCTCTCTATCTTTATTGTCGTACAAGCACTTTCTAGCACAGCTCCTGATCACAACACTTGTTTTCACGGCACTTCTTTTACAAATATCTTGGTGGCGGACTTAAACCAAAAAGTAGTGAATTAGGGAGAGAAATAATTTTTCAGTATGAAAAAGATATAGGGATATATATCAAACACGTTGCAATGGGTTACGGAGCGTACTTGGTGGTGGGCATCATGGTGGGGACTGGCGTTGGATGAAGTTGTTGTGATTGTAACAAAACTTGTAATAATTATTCTGTGTTTCTATATAGACAGTTGCTTAGAAATGGTTACTGGTTCCAGCAAACCATTTTCATATTTTTCTCTATCATTTTTATTTCCAATTTTTAGTATGGTAATAAAAGCCAAAATTTTCTCATCTTCATTTTGAAAATTAATGGTAAGATTTGTTAGCATTTTTTAACAATAAGTTTTCTATTTTGAACCATTTTGAAATTTTATGGTGCTGTTGGCTTTCAGGGATTTTATTCTAATATTTTTGTTTTAAACGTGGTGTTTTGAAGCATTTTTAGCAAAAGGTTTTGGTTTTGAGTCAATTTGAAAATAAATATCTATTGAGTGTGGGTTTGGCTAACATTTCTCGCCATACACTGGTCACAGATCATGGTCTCTTGACAAGATAAACAAATTAATTTTGCATGTGTACATCATTTTCAGAAGCCCGTCACCAGTCAGCGGCAACGTTGTGCCATCTCCTGCCCTCCAGGTAAGACTTTCACAGAAACAGCTGTTTTCCGTTTAAAGTATTGTTTGTTGTTTTACGCCACACTCAGCAACATTCCAGCTATATGGTGGCAGTCTGTAAATAATCGAGTCTGGACCAGACAATCCAGTGATAATGTTGTATGAAACTTTCAATTGTATTGATTTTTTTAAATACAAGGAAAAACACAACCAGTGTTGCCTCCCTTTGGTTAGCCAGGTTTTTAAAAAAGTAGTAAATGTAAGAAACTTGTGACTTCTCTGGATTGAAGGTGACATCCACTGATAGCTGTTATGCTGTTTAAGGTGGTAGTGCACCCCACTCACTCACACACTCACTTACTCACCCAACCATTCACCCACCCACTCACTCACTCATTCATTCACCCACCGATCCAGTCACCCACCCACCCACCCCTCCTCCCACTCACTCACCCACTCATGCTCTCACTCAACCACTCACTCACTCACTCACCCACCCACCCATCCTCCCACTCACTCACCCACTCATGCTCTCACTCAACCACTCACTCACTCACTCACCCACCCACCCATCCTCCCACTCACTCACTCACCCACTCATGCTCTCACTCACTCACTCACTCACCAACCCACCAATCCTCCCACTCACTCACTCACTCACTCATGCTCTCACTCACCCACTCATCGTCCCACTCACTCCCTCACTCACTCACCCACTCATGCTCCCACTCACTCACTCATGCTCTCACTCACTCACTCACTCAGTCTCTGTCTGTGTTTCAGAGTGACCTGTCTCCCGGGACTGCCAGTAACGCAGTGTCATCAACCAATGCCGCATCAGCTGCCACCAGTGCCCAACCTGAAGGTACAACAAGCTTCCAGTATTTATTTCATCATAAATATAAAGACAAACATGTTTTCATACAAATCTATATTGTAATCCATCGTTGGTGCCATGTTCTGAAAAATGTACAAATAAGGCCACCTTGCAAGGATTTCAGAATTTTCCTATTCCTTCTCCCAGACCAAAGAGAATACGAAAGTAGTAGATTGCTTCGGCAAGTCTAGATTGCCTGAATTCAAGCTTTAATATGGACTCAGTTGGATTGACTTTTTTAAAGTTTATGTGTGTCTGTGTATAGAGGCTTATAGACTCATATCATCTATAATGTGATTAGATGCCAGCCTGCCTAATGAGCTAATCAGAACAATAAAGTTCGGTCATTTCTCCGTCTGTGGCGCTATGACTGTTCGTAATCTCTCTGTATCAGATGTAAATACAGCATGTGCCCCATCTTTCAGCTTGTGTGCCGACTACCTTGAATGGGCTCAGCACTCACACTCAGTCACAACCAGGTAAGTAGACCACCACCCTGTTTACTCTCACACCATCCTCTATAATCCAGGGTTGTTTTGTATACCCCGACATTTTGGTTCATCCAATAACTTGACAACATTGGTTGGATTGTTTTCAAATTTGTATGATATCTTTTTATGATATTTTAATTTATTTCAAGAATAGCAGCACTTTACAGCCTATTTGTCTAACATACAGGTGCAGTGCACTGTTTGGTTCAGATTTTTTACTTTTTGAAGGTGTGCCAATTTACATATTTGGAACAAAATATGTTTTACAAGACAAGTTTGCATGGCCACATTCTAGTTGTGAACAAGAATTAAGCTCAGGGAACCCTTTTGTAGATAGTCACGATGATTTTGTGGCTCTAGGTTCTTCATTTCTCACACATATCAAACATGCAGCTGCTCAAACACTGTTCATATCAAACATGTAGCTGTTCAAACGCTATTCATATCAAACATGCAACTGCTCAAACACTATTCATATCAAACAAGCAGCTGTTCAAACAATATTCATATTACACATGCAGCTGTTCAAACACTATTCATATCAAACATGCAGCTGTTCAAACAATATTCATATTACACATGCAGCTGTTCAAACACTATTCATATCAAACAAGCAGCTGTTCAAACAATATTCATATTACACATGCAGCTGTTCAAACACTATTCATATCAAACAAGCAGCTGTTCAAACAATATTCATATTACACATGCAGCTGTTCAAACTCTATTCATATCAAACATGTAGCTGCTCAGACACTATTCATATCAGACATGCAGCTGTTCAAACTCTATTCATATCAAACATGTAGCTGCTCAAACACTATTCATATCAAACATGCAGCTGTTCAAACAATATTCATATTACACATGCAGATGCTCAACACTATTCATATCAAACATGTAGCTGCTCAGACACTATTCATATCAGACATGCAGCTGTTCAAACACTGTTCATATCAAACATGCAGATGCTCAAACACTATTCATATCAAACATGCAGCTGTTCAAACACTATTCATATCAATCATGCCGATGTTCAAACTCTATTCATATCAAACATGCAGCTGTTCAAACACTATTTATATCAAACAAGCAGCTGCTCAACACTATTCATATCAAACATGCAGCTGTTCAAACAATATTCATATCAGACATGCAGCTGTTCAAACACTGTTCATATCAAACATGCAGATGCTCAAACACTATTCATATCAAACATGCAGCTGTTCAAACAATATTCATATTACACATGCAGATGCTCAAACTCTATTCGTATTAAACATGCAGCTGTTCAAACACTATTCATATCAAACATGTAGCTGCTCAAACACTATTCATATCAAACATGCAACTGCTCAGACACTATTCATATCAAACATGTAGCTGCTCAAACACTATTCATATCAAACATGCAACTGCTCAGACACTATTCATATCAAACATGCAGCTGTTCAAACACTATTCATATCAATCATGCCGATGCTCAAACTCTATTCATATCAAACATGCAGCTGTTCAAACAATATTCATATTACACATGCAGATGCTCAAACGCTATTCATATCAATCATGCCGATGCTCAAACTCTATTCATATCAAACATGCAGCTGTTCAAACACTATTTATATCAAACAAGCAGCTGCTCAACACTATTCATATCAAACATGCAGCTGTTCAAACACTATTCATATCAATCATGCCGATGCTCAAACTCTATTCATATCAAACATGCAGCTGTTCAAACACTATTTATATCAAACAAGCAGCTGCTCAACACTATTCATATCAAACATGCAGCTGTTCAAACAATATTCATATCAGACATGCAGCTGTTCAAACACTGTTCATATCAAACATGCAGATGCTCAAACACTATTCATATCAAACATGCAGCTGTTCAAACAATATTCATATTACACATGCAGATGCTCAAACTCTATTCGTATTAAACATGCAGCTGTTCAAACACTATTCATATCAAACATGTAGCTGCTCAAACACTATTCATATCAAACATGCAACTGCTCAGACACTATTCATATCAAACATGTAGCTGCTCAAACACTATTCATATCAAACATGCAACTGCTCAGACACTATTCATATCAAACATGCAGCTGTTCAAACACTATTCATATCAATCATGCCGATGCTCAAACTCTATTCATATCAAACATGCAGCTGTTCAAACAATATTCATATTACACATGCAGATGCTCAAACTCTATTCGTATTAAACATGCAGCTGCTTAAACACTATTCATATCAAACATGTAGCTGTTTAAACACTACTCATATCAGACATGCAGCTGTTCAAACACTATTCATATCAAACAAGCAGCTGCTCAACACTATTCATATCAAACATGCAGCTGTTCAAACAATATTCATATTACACATGCAGATGCTCAACACTATTCATATCAAACATGTAGCTGCTCAGACACTATTCATATCAGACATGCAGCTGTTCAAACACTGTTCATATCAAACATGCAGATGCTCAAACTCTATTCATATCAAACATGCAGCTGTTCAAACAATATTCATATCAAACATGTAGCTGCTCAAACACTATTTATATCAAACAAGCAGCTGCTCAACACTATTCATATCAAACATGCAGCTGTTCAAACAATATTCATATTACACATGCAGATGCTCAAACTCTATTCGTATTAAACATGCAGCTGTTCAAACACTATTCATATCAAACATGTAGCTGCTCAAACACTATTCATATCAAACATGCAACTGCTCAGACACTATTCATATCAAACATGCAGCTGTTCAAACACTATTCATATCAATCATGCCGATGCTCAAACTCTATTCATATCAAACATGCAGCTGTTCAAACAATATTCATATTACACATGCAGATGCTCAACACTATTCATATCAAACATGTAGCTGCTTAAACACTATTCATATGAAACATGTAGCTGCTCAAACTCTATTCATATCAAACATGTAGCTGTTTAAACACTACTCATATCAGACATGCAGCTGTTCAAACACTGTTCATATCAAACATGCAGATGCTCAAACACTATTCATATCAAACATGCAGCTGTTCAAACACTATTCATATCAAACATGCAGCTGCTCAAACACTATTCATATCAAACATGCAGCTGTTCAAACAATATTCATATTACACATGCAGATGCTCAAACTCTATTCGTATTAAACATGCAGCTGTTCAAACACTATTCATATCAAACATGTAGCTGCTCAAACACTATTCATATCAAACATGCAACTGCTCAGACACTATTCATATCAAACATGCAGCTGTTCAAACACTATTCATATCAATCATGCCGATGCTCAAACTCTATTCATATCAAACATGCAGCTGTTCAAACAATATTCATATTACACATGCAGATGCTCAACACTATTCATATCAAACATGTAGCTGCTTAAACACTATTCATATGAAACATGTAGCTGCTCAAACTCTATTCATATCAAACATGTAGCTGTTTAAACACTACTCATATCAGACATGCAGCTGTTCAAACACTGTTCATATCAAACATGCAGATGCTCAAACACTATTCATATCAAACATGCAGCTGTTCAAACACTATTCATATCAAACATGCAGCTGTTCAAACAATATTCATATCAAACATGAAGCTGTTCAAACACTATTCATATCAAACATGTAGCTGCTCAACACTATTCATATCAAACATGCAGCTGTTCAAACAATATTCATATCAAACATGCAGCTGTTCAAACACTATTCATATCAAACATGCAGCTGTTCAAACAATATTCATATCAAACATGCAGATGCTCAAACACTATTCATATCAAACATGCAGCTGTTCAAACACTATTCATATCAAACATGTAGCTGCTCAAACACTATTCATATCAAACATGCAGCTGCTCAAACACTATTCATATCAAACATGCAGCTGTTCAAACAATATTCATATTACACATGCAGATGCTCAAACTCTATTCGTATCAAACATGCAGCTGTTCAAACACTATTCATATTAAACATGTAGCTGTTCAAACACTATTCATATCAAACATGCAGCTGTTCAAACACTATTCATATCAAACATGTAGCTGCTCAACACTATTCATATCAAACATGCAGCTGTTCAAACACTATTCATATCAAACATGTAGCTGCTCAAACTCTATTCATATCAAACATGTAGCTGCTCAACACTATTCATATCAAACATGCAGCTGCTTAAACACTATTCATATGAAACATGTAGCTGCTCAAACTCTATTCATATCAAACATGTAGCTGTTTAAACACTACTCATATCAGACATGCAGCTGTTCAAACACTGTTCATATCAAACATGCAGATGCTCAAACACTATTCATATCAAACATGCAGCTGTTCAAACACTATTCATATCAAACATGCAGCTGCTCAAACACTATTCATATCAAACATGCAGCTGCTCAAACACTATTCATATCAAACATGCAGCTGTTCAAACAATATTCATATTACACATGCAGATGCTCAAACTCTATTCGTATCAAACATGCAGCTGTTCAAACACTATTCATATTAAACATGTAGCTGTTCAAACACTATTCATATCAAACATGCAGCTGTTCAAACACTATTCATATCAAACATGTAGCTGCTCAACACTATTCATATCAAACATGCAGCTGTTCAAACACTATTCATATCAAACATGCAGATGCTCAAGCACTATTCATATCAAACATGCAGCTGTTCAAACAATATTCATATCAAACATGCAGCTGTTCAAACACTATTCATATCAAACATGCAGCTGCTCAAGCACTATTCATATCAAACATGCAGCTGTTCAAACACTATTCATATCAAACATGCAGATGCTCAAACACTATTCATTTCAAGCACGCAGATGCTCAAACTCTATTCATATCAAACATGCAACTGCTCAAACACTATTCATATCAAACATGCAGCTGTTCAAACACTATTCATATCAAACATGCAGCTGCTCAAGCACTATTCATATCAAACATGCAGCTGTTCAAACACTATTCATATCAAACATGCAGATGCTCAAACACTATTCATTTCAAGCACGCAGATGCTCAAACTCTATTCATATCAAACATGCAACTGCTCAAACACTATTCATATCAAACATGCAGCTGTTCAAACACTATTCATATCAAACATGCAGCTGCTCAAGCACTATTCATATCAAACATGCAGCTGCTCAAACACTATTCATATCAAACATGCAGCTGTTCAAACAATATTCATATTACACAAGCAACTACTCAAACACTTCATATGAAACATGCAGGTGTTGAAACACTATTCATATCAGACATGCAGCTGTTCAAACACTATTCATATCAAACATGCAGATGCTCAAACACTATTCATATCAAACATGCAGCTGTTCAAACACTATTCATATCAAACATGCAGATGCTCAAACACTATTCATATCAAACATGCAGCTGTTCAAACACTATTCATATCAAACATGCAGATGCTCAAACACTATTCATATCAAACATGCAGGTGTTCAAACACTTCATATCAAACATGCAGATGCTCAAACACTGTTCATATCAAACATGCAGCTGTTCACACACTATTCATATCAAACATGCAGATGCTCAAACACTATTCATATCAGAATAGTGTTTGAACAGACCGCCGCCATACAGCTGGAATATTGCTGAGTGCAGAGTTAAACAACAAACAAACAAACCATACCCACATGCCCACATTGCTAGAATGTTTCTATTCTGGAAAACTCCCTTTACTGCAGTTAAAATCAGGTCCCGGTTCCACAAATAAACCACAGACGAACAAACTGCTAACCAAGACTTGTCTCTGTTCCAGCCACGTCCAATGACTCTGTGCTGTTTGCAAATGTCATCCAGGAACAGGATGAGGACAAGCGGCAGAACCCGAGCACAGACAACAATGATGAGGCAGCACTAGCCTTCCTCATGAGTTTACTAGAAGCAGACGCCGGGCTCGGGGGCCCAGTAGACTTTAACAACCTTCCCTGGCCATTGTGATGAAGTACTTGAATAGCTATGACATGTAGACAAGATGCGACCTGGTGCAGTGAACCAGTGCCCATCCTCCTGTTGTACCTGTAAGATAAAAGATTGTGCCACAGGGCACCGACATTCTGCAGATGGTTGAAGGAATGGGACAGTGGGATCTGATCTGGTGCATCAGATGAAAAGGAAACGCCTTTGTTTTATGTAAAATTCAACATGTCCATTTGATTACTTAAGGACAGATTTAACTGCCACCATCTGACTTGCAGAAGGTTGTGAAGACATTATTCCAAAGTGCCAGAGGAACGATTTTCTATTCTGTTGTGACTGAGATAATGGTTCTAATTAGTTCTTGAAGAAGTGCTTAGGAAAATATTTTCTCTGCTTTGTATCTGACTCGGTCATGGTTGTGAAGACATCATCCAAACATGGCAGTAAGGCCTACCGTAAGAATGAAACATGTTTGTCTGACTGCAGTCGGATATCGTGACGCTTCATAATGCTCTGATCGCTTGTCTGACTGTAGTAGGGAACTCAGCAACTAGAGCAAGTCTCACATTGAAGTCACATGGGTCACTGGTCAAATGAATGGCATGACTTCATTTGCAATGGATTCTGAAGTGAAAGAAGAATATTCAGCATTATTTTGTACCAAGAACAAAGCTCTTGTTGTTTGGCAAGTGGTTTGGAAGAAATGCCTGAAATCTTGTTACAGTGCACCATTGTGAAACCACAGGTTGCAGATTCAGGTTTCATTTGCTGGACAAAGATTCTGGTAAAGATGAAATAAGGAGCCACAGAGATAAGTCAATGTTTGGCAAGTTTCCACAGAAACCTTATCCCATTGGCTGAGGGACAATCTCCAAGAAGAATGGATGGAAGCGCCAATGGTTGTATCTATCATCCTGGATTGGATATGTTGTGAGATAAGTGAATCAAGGAATCTTGTAGGCTCTGTGTACATTGAGAAAGAAACGCGTGAAAAATTGACACAGCTCAGTGATAAAATGTGATTTGATAAAGAACAGAGGACCACAGAACCCAAAATTATACTTACTGTCATGCACCATGCTTTCTTGGACTAGCGGTTACAGCCATTTGTGCACAGGTGATGGCATATGTCAAAAGCTCTTGGAACTTTTAAAATATGACAAAATATCTCAGGTTTTGTGTTACCTTATGACTAGTGGAAGATGATAAGCTCATTCTCATGTGCAAAAATCAGCCTTATATTGACTGTCATCTGATGTTAAGCCTTCATTCCTTTGTGTGTGATGTGAGAAGCCCATTTCTGCTGTCTCCCACCATGATATTGCTGGAATATTCCTAAGAGTGGCGTAAAACTAAACCCACTCACTCCTTTGTGTGTGACTCATGGTATGATGACACCGTGTTTCAGTTAATAGGACAAAAGCTGCAATAGTGAATATGCTCGCTATTTACAAGAGGGACGAACTTGAGCTGAACATGGGCCACCCAATTTGTTTGGGTCTGTGATGTTTGGATTGTGTCAGTCAATTCTTAGTGATAAGAAGCATCAAGGAGAGTCCAAAAGAGCTTGTGTCTTGAATTTATTGAACTGTTTTGCCTTACAAAGGACTTGTTGACGAAGTGTTGAGATCGTGATAGTCTGTTACGTTTCTAGTGTATATACAGGTCACATAAAGAGTTTGTATAGTATTGTAAGTTATACGAGACACCTATATTGTTACCGATGTTATTGGGCCTGAATATTTGTATTGCCTCGATCTTTGTTCATGGTGTTCAGTTTGTTGATATGTGTTGCTTTGAAATCCTTGAGACGCAAAAATGTTTTATTCGTCCTTTATCTGTTTGTTTTTGTAAACTGAATATATATTTATATGCTTCTGTAGAGACATATTGAAAATGATAGCGTTATGTACAGATTTTAAAATATCCAGATTATAGTAACTCCTATTTTAAAGAAGTATCAGCAGGCCAGTAAAATATATTTTCTTACTCGATAGACATTACTTGGGTAGATTTGAAACAAAATAGATGTTTTTATGGTGGATTTGATGAAAGGTTTCTAAAGGAAAATGTTTGAACAAGATATAAACAAGCCAATGTTAAGTAAAAACTTTTTTCATTTCATACATTTGTTGCAGTTAAAATATACTACCCATCAAAAGTTTAGACTCACTAGTGTAAAATAGCCACTTACTTCAGGCAACTGTTCTGAGCTAAATGTTGTAAAATATTCCTTAATGTTTAACAGTACTGATTACACATGAACTGATGTATTGTAAAACAAATTCTTAAAAATGAAAAGATTATTGTCCTGAGTTCAATAAATGATGAAACTCAGTGAAAATTGGCGAATTCTTAACAAACCTTCACACTAAAATGCATCAATTCACATGTACGATATTTGCACATGCTTTTCAGCAATTTGATGCATAAGGTTTGCAGCTGGTTCCCCCAAGTTAGTGAAGAAATTCATCTTTGATGTAACCATTATATATACATAACATATAGTGAGTGCTTTATGTGAGTCTTAACTTTTGATGAGTAGTATAGCAGGAAAATACATTGGTCTGGCTTATTTTCAAAATATGCCAAATCAAATTTCTTTTCTCATTTCATATTTAATTCCAATAGGTAGACCTGAAAATCATATCTTTCCCTGGATAACCTTTCACAATGCAGTAGGACTATTTTTGTGTACTGACAATTTGCTTTAGTTTTTCCATGGGGCTCTGTTTGAGTTTAAATTCAACTTAATGGACTGTTTTTATTTTAAATAGAAATCCAAGCATGTTTTTTTTCACCAAAAGGTTCTCAAGATTTCCTGTGCCTAATATATTTGATTAGTCTCTAATATCAAACACGTTTCATACACTCCGAAAATCTATGGTCCAGCTATTTGCTGGCAGAGTTACTTCCCTTAGGTATGCCACTATCAACTGGCCACAAGTTTGATCATCAGATTCAGTAATATCACAACCATATTGAAATATTTTATTGAATGGTTACTGTGAATTGATACATAGTCAACGTCCATCACCTGAACTACTTTTTCTCCATCTTTGAGCTGACCGGCTGTGATATAACAGAAAGACTGTTCCATGTGGCATTAACGTGTATTAAAATTTCAGTGGGTGAGGAAGGTAGGTATTCAGTAAGGGAACATTCTGAGAGGCTTTACGTCAATGCTGAGATCATAGCCTGTTTGCAGTGAAAACATAACAATGAATTTCACTTTAAATAAAAAATTAAATCAAATAAAGGGATTTTAAGATCGCAAATCCTCATAATTTTACCTTGCCGGTTGAATATTTAAATCTCAGAATTTTATTCAACTTGGGATAAAAGTTGTTCAACAAACGATCATAGATTCAAATCGCTGTTATTGGTTTGTATTACCAGGGTGTGTGCACATTAAATGAAACACTGAGAGCAAGTAGGGTTGGTCTTAGTTAGCACTCAACACGTCCCGCACATGCATTTGTTTCACTGTTCCAACTACTGCGCTTAACCCAGTTGGCAAGGTAAAATTATGAGGATTCGCAGTCTTAATTTCACTTTATTTGATTTACGTTTTTGGTTAAAGTGACATTTATCGGGTACGTTTTCACTGCATACAGGCTGTAGGTGAAATGTTACACCAGATGTCTGTTGCAGCTCAACAGTCATTTCATTTTGTAATTATTACTAAATGGAAAGGTTTTTTATGTCAATTATAAGCAGTGTGCGAAATAGTTTCCAAATTTGCTAGCCAGTTGGGCTAGCTATGCCTGAAAGTTACTAGCCTACACAATAATTCACTGGCCCGAAACTTGAATGAAGACACAGGTTTCATCATTAATCTGCTAATATGATGAACATTTTTATGTAATATTTTTAATCTTGCATGATTTAAAAGTGTATTATAACTTAAGATGTCAGGGAGAGATATACTTACAAGATGACCCCATGAAAATTCACTAGCCAGTCGGGCCAGTGACTGTGGAGATTTACTGGCTCAAGTGGATTTTTACTAGCCACGGGCTAGTGGGCCAGTGGCTATTTCGCACACTGATGATAAGGTTCAGTCCTTCAGTTGACTGAATATAGAGAAAACAGCGTTAGTTTATATCCGAATATAACTTTTATCCAAAAACGTTTTTTAAAAATATGCTTGCAATAAAAATATAAATCGATAAATTTATGATGAGAAAGCTTGATGTATTCTATGAGAGTTCTTTTACTTGGTAGAATACAGTAATTATGAGGTAAACGTTCCCTCAGGATTATGGTTGCCTTTTATCTGTGGGTACCTCTGAGACATACAAAATATCTTTATCATATTCTTGTTTTTTTTAAGAGATTAGTCAAAGTGCTACGGTGAGTGAGTGCTGCATATAGTTTTTATACGTACTATTGTTTCCGATGAGCAATGTGAAAGTGACACGTGAAAATGCTGGAAAGGCGAGCACATTTCTAATGGCCTCACATGAGTTTTCTAGTCCTCAGGACCCAATGTATAAAATGTGATTCAAATAAACTTGTTGCAAGAAATATATATCATAAATATAGATAAGGCAAGACCAATTTTATTTCTTGTTTTATGGATTTTATTCCTCAGAAAACCTAAAGGTAGGAGGGGAAAAAGAAAATTCACCAGTCAAACCAAAAACCCACATGAGTTTCCATGGTAACTCTATTGGTTTGTACATATCAACTAAAAATAAGTTGAGTGAGTTTACGTTTCACACCGATTTCCAGAGTATTTCACATATATCAAATTAACATTAGAATTTCATTTTTTGATTTTTTTTCTTATTCTTAAAAAAATATGACCGGTGGATCCATAAAGCAAGAAATAAAATTGGTCTGGCCTAAATGAGATTGAAAGTGCCTTAATCTATCAATTCAATTGTTGTTAATTTTCGGTTTATTAAAATCAGTAGCTTGCTCTTTGAAGTCAATATTATGTTTATGGAGGTCAATAGTATGTATCTCAATGTCGACAATGAGGTCATTGGATTGTTGTTGGGGGTAATATTATGTCTTAAAGGCACACTGTCACAAATTTTCGACAATATTTTGGCCTATATTACATATATTGGGACACATGCACTCACTTTAGGTTCCTATTGATGCAATTAAAGACTATTATCCCACACGACTTGCCTGAAGTCAATAATTGAAACTTTGAGGCCAACAGCTTCCAAACAGAGAACACTTGCCATGGAACACTATGGAATGTAAACAATTGCTCTGTACATGGAGACGAGAGTCAATTTAATGCAACTTTGCATTAATTCATTCAAACCTTTTAGTTTAATATTGTAATCTAAATACATAATTTTATCAAATAAATTATATAGTAGCTTCGCGAGGGCTGATAGTTAGTATTAATGAGAGAAATGCATTATTTATTTTTAGAGAAGTGTGGGGTGAAATAGTGTCTGTAAGTTGCATAGAAATGTTGAATATTAGGGGTATCAAATCAACTGCTGTACACGCCATAGAAATCCAGATCTCATGTATTATTTATATTTGATACCTATGTTTCCAGGTAGATTTGAATCTTGTTACATTGAGCTTCATTAACCAGTTACATTGTTAAAGAAGAACTGATGGAGTCTACAGAATGCTCAGTGTCTTCATCAGGTTTAGGTTTGCATTCCACTTTTTGAACTTTGGACAACACAAAGCAAGGACAACATTTTTGTTTATTTACAAGTTCATGGAATTGAAGCAAGAAGCAACCTGAAAGGAAAATGGAATAGTTGAAGATATTTTCAATATCCCTGTCACTATGTCTCTGTTGGATTAGAAACAGTAAAATATTCTAAAACATTGTTCAAAATTAGTAACTTTTTAGTTTATGTATTTAATTGCATGTTAGATTCGAACAGCATTGTGACCTACATCAGTACCTCAAGTTGTCCAAGGTTCCACACAACTAATGACTAAATAAAAGATGGCCAGGGAACAAGCTTTAACTTCAAGACAACCAAATTTTCGACATAAACTCCAAACAAAGCCTGTTTCATACCAAATAGATTCCATAAATATTGAGCTGCAAAAAACTTGAGTTACGACCAACCAATACTATTTGTTTACAGAAAAATTTGTTATGTTAAAATGAAAAATAATGTTGCCCAACATGTGTTAACAAATTACACCGAGCTGTGAGATAGACTTTTTCTTGATTCATAGAGTTTCCTAAGAAGTTATTTTTCTCTCAAAGCAGTTTCTGACAACGATTATTATGTGTATGACAATCAAAGACCCTTAAAAGTATTTTACAGAATATGATATATGTCAACATTACAAGGATATCCTGGAGCCCCACCCCCCTCTCACACACACACACACACACACACACAAATTTTATCATTGACAGAATAATCAAAGGTCACATGATAAATGTACACACTCTTGGTGTCTTAATGGAGATTTTATTTTCTGTGTAATGTATGTCTTCTTGTGAGGCCTTAAAAGTTTTCCAAGTATATATAAGTGTCTTGAGCAATGTATTGCTGATGTTTAAACGCATGTGTTGTTCACGACTGTTCGGGATGGGATAGTCTTGTCTCTGTTGTTGAAAAGAGACTTCACATTGGTCAGTCTTATTAAACTTCGGATCAGCATTATTTGTAACACTGCTATACTGAGTCTAACAAACCCTAGTAGAAGGTCGCGTCAGCTAACCAATCGGATTTAACCAATCAGACAATGGCTACTATTTAGGGTACGGCTGGACTTATGAAATGGCAACAAACGAAAATCTGCATAAAACACAGATATTTGACCTGCATTATATACGTTTAGGGGTTTCTGATTACATGGTTAGGGGCCGTTCATAATTTATGGCTAGGGGGGGTGATGATGATTTTGTATGTAGAAGCATGTACAATGTGAATGATCCCCCCTAAAATTCATGTACAAAATAAGTGACCCCCTGCATGTCATGTACAAAATCAATTACCCCCCTTCCCCCTTCTCATAATTTGTAAGCATAATCTGAAACATATTTTTATGTACAAAATTGCTGCCCCCTAGGACATGTGTACAGAATTGCTGCCCCCAAGCTACCCAGAACAAAATGGGTGCCCCCCCTCCCATCATCATCAAACCAACCAACCAACACACACACACACACACACACACACACAAACACACAGCCATAAATTTTTAACGGTCCCTTACTATTAAGTTATATTTCTGCAAGGTGATATCCTGGAATATTGACAAAAACGTATTTTCAGCAACTCTTTACTCGCTGTTGTGAATAATGGAATCCTCCATGTGTATCACTCATAAGCAGTCGTGCGGAAAATAGCATTCAGAATCATTCATGCACAAACGTTTTCGAGGTATAAGTTCAAACGGTATGTGCGAATGATTACTTTCGCGATTTGGTAAGCTGTGTTCTGATTGGTCAATTCAAAAGGTTAGCTGACGCGACCTTCTATTAGGGTTTGTTAGACTCAATAT